TTCTTTTTCTTATTATTTTTTGTCTATGTATCGAGTTTATCTTTCTTATGAAGAAGATCAATAAAAGGTAAACTCAACATGGGTTGTCACATTGACAGTGACAAGCTTAGTATGGGAATACAAAATATAGTACCCGTGAACAATAGACAATATTTTGTTAGCATATTAAGAATTTCAAGACGCAAAATGTTTGATTCTAACTCACCGAGTCGACTAGCTTAAACGTTTATATGCATAAAATATTTTGCTATTCAGCACCACATATATTTCTCAAAGCTAGAAAGAATACGTTTATTCTATAAATAATGTGAAAACAATTATAGTACTATTCATTGACAATGAGAGTTTTTGCTAGACAGTTAACCTCGCAGATACGGAAGGAAGTCATCACGATTTACAAGGATTTTATAAAACTGATTATTTAAAATATAGATTGCACAAGCAATGTGATATAATAACCCTAGAGACTTTAGAATACATTCAAAATCACGAAAGACGACTCTTACGTCATACTATAAATTGTACTGAAGTAATCAAAGGACGTACGTCGATGATAGAATCACGAGTCAGAAACATAATGACAACAAATTTATACCATGATTTTGCGAAGTTAGGTTATTTCACTGATTATTTTTATTTTAATTTTATTTCATGGTTTTGAGTGATACCTGAATAATAATTTTAGGGGGGAGTTTTTGTTTTGAAACAAACTGTTATGAGTAGAATACCTTAAGACAGGAACACTAAAGACCAAAGTATTACTCGAAAACAACCTAACCTGCTTTAACATAACCTAACTATTCATCTTTCAGATATGATCGATCATGCAACATGAAAACATCGTCTATCTTTGTCGGATACATGCAAATTAGCAATACAGTTTGTTTAGACAATAAAAATTCTGTTTGTCTCTATCTAACATATCTGAAACTTCATTAAAAATATTCACAAATCGCGGTCGTTTGTCTTTACTACAGACTAAAATGATGACGTAATCGTCATCTTTCGTGATTTCGACTATATGTTCCTAGGCACTCATCGATGCCAAATAATGAGACCGCCGGTTACCTGGCTGAACTCATTTCTCTGCGTTTTTAAGTGTTTGTTCGAGAACATTTTATAGATATGAGACGTAATTTTTTTTTGATATTATATGACATGCAAATCACGAAAAACCATGTCACTCATTTCCATCGGTCTGTCTGTCTGACGGTCTGTCTGTCTGACGGTCTGTCCGCTAATTTTATAACTTGGGAAGTACCGCTCGCATTTCGATGATGTTTATACACAATGCCAAAAACGCAAAAACATTAGAGTTTTTGCAAATCGTTCCAGTGGAAGCAAAGAAAAAGACCTATGTGAAAAGTTGGGGGTGGGGAAGGTTAATCTGAATTTTTTAATGCTGGTACATCATACGCTCCCAAAATTGGTAATTCTACGCACCTATTAGACATATTTCACAAATCATAGATTTCCCTTTACAGTAGCCTTGAAATTAATCTCGGTGACCGCACTACCACGGTGCCACGTCAGCCTTAGTTAGGTATTAGGTTAAGGCTACGTTTCCAGATGCACTACCGGTAGAGCAGAGAAATAATGTCTTTGGACTAATTGTATGGACATGTTTGACTGACTTTTCTCTCTGAGGGTCTAGCTTGCGCTGAACATATTCCTCTATGTACTAATAACATCGGGAAGTGCGGAGTCAACTTGGCGCCATTTTTTATCAAGAAAATGATCCGCTGAATGGCTTTCTTTTCAATAAAACGTTATAGAACACACTTCCTCGAGATAGAACATGTCAGTTTTCTACTATGGATCAGGATATCTAGAATTTGAGAGATAAAAAAATGTAAGTTGTTTTGCAACGGAATTATATTCTTGGGGGTATATGAAAACTACCCTCAACGAAATATACAAAAAAACTTTATCGGGGATAATCGAAAATTTACGAATTATTGATGTAAGTGACCAAAAAAAGAAGTAGGGGAAAATTACCTTCAAAATGACACTCAGCTGTAACGGTTAATTTATTGACGAACAAATCCTCGATTTATATATTTACTTTTCACCGAAGAATGTATAAAGGTAAATCTGAAATAATAGCAAAAAATTGATGATGATTATACATTTAAGAGAAAACTATTCAATAATGCTCAACGGTTTATAAAAGTTCCTATTTTTACTATATTTTTTTTAAAATGGCATTTTTGACGAGCTGTCCAGCGTCTTTGGATCATTCAAGTAGCCTCATATTGAACTTATTCTCTTGCTTGTTTAATATCATACTAAAATAGATTTTCTTATAATTTAAATGTAAACAAGCATCGCCAAGGGTAAATTTATGTTTACCTTATAAACAATTAGAATAAATCCTTTGTTTTTTGACAGTCTGAAATGCTCACCACTGTAAAGCTGATGAAAAAGACACACTGACGATAAAGGAACTTTTTTGGACCTTTGGAGGCCTTCAACTTTTTTGGAATAATTTACAACTATGTGAGTTTACGAGAAAACGTGATTTTTTCAACTGTTGTTTAATACAGTTACCCAGCAACATTTTCGATAAAAACTATCAAACAATAATATCAGAAAAGAAGGCATGGGAGAAAGGGCCTGCTACTCAAAGATTCTGGTACACAGACGGCTCGAAAACTGAATCTGTTCAAGACAAAATGCGAGAAATGCAAGGGCTAAAAGCAGCCATGGAGTCAGACGGGTTTACATAGGGCTGAGCCGGAACAATCGTTTAAAATAATCTAATTTAAAAAGTAATACGTCATTGTACTCTTTTTTTCCTCGACAGGTATATTTTTGTGGACGTAAAGAAGTGCCAGGCCAGTTTGGTGATCTGTCAAATCGACCCTCAACAATCTTTGGAGCCTCCTGAGGAAGGACGTATTTGCTGTAGTTGCACTAACTAGCAGTGTAGCAAAAATGCATAGAAACAATTTGATGTTGGAATACATTTCATTATAGCAATTATCTATAATGAGGGGCGTCATAACTTCCATCACCTATTTTGGATACGCCCTTCGACAAATGTATGGGTTTTTGTGCTTTGTGCAAGTAAAAGGATATCGAGCATAGCACTGACATCTTGCTTTTGGATGTCTCAAAATCATTTGACAGGGTGCGGCAGGCAGACCGCCTGTATAAACCAATCCAAAGGGCTTCCCTTTTTGGCTTCTAAAATTACTGAATTCCTTCCCTAAAGGTAGGGAATTTCGGACCAAAATTGACAATGTTTTGTCGAAAACACGGCTACAGCCGGAGTCCCTCAATCCTTTACTCACTGTACATCCATGACGTCCCTAGCCCCAGGAACTATGCTGACGATACTGCATTGGTGGCTCAGTCGTTGTGGGGCGACCTAGTTCATGCCAGGATCCAAAGTGCGGTGGAGGAAGTATTAGACGTAAAAAAAAAGTAAAAGACATCACGGCGCCCCGTCTGAGGTTTTAAGGAATGGATTTCTTATACCATGGGAAAGCTCCGCTACGTATCTCGGTGTCATTCTGGACAAAGGGATAACTCATCAGAATCATATTGAAGCGTTAAAAACTAAATTCCAAATTACGTTTCGACATCTTTACCCATTATAATGTAAACGTTCAAGTTCAAGGTTTTAAGGTGGTCATAAGATCAGCAATGACTTAGCTTGTGCGGCTTGGTGTTTTGAGAAAAGACATACATGTGAAATCTGCAGGTTCTGCAAAGCGGGACGTTGCGCACTATTACTGACGCTCCGTGGTATGTCTCTATCGAAACCCTTAAAAGAGACATGGATGTTCCATACCCAAAGTACTACATTAAAAAACAGGCGCAGTGGCGCTATAGCCAAGCGGAATCACACTGCAAGTCAGTGGACTGTACAGCTGAGCAAGTTCTCAAAATTGGAGCATTTTGACAAAATCAAATATTTTAGACCATATCAAAATCTGTTGTGATCTGTGTCATTTTAACAATGCCTAAACGCTCCCTTTCTTGGAATAATCTCTTCTTCCTCTTTGCTCTCTTCCTTCCTTCTGTCCCTTCCTTTCCTGTTTTTGTTAAAATTGTGTGGTTACTGGGTTATCAGACCTGAAAGAGTATCAAGCTGATACTATGACACAGGAGCCATGGTCTCACTGACCGCTCTGATAACCAACTATGACTTGTGAAAGGATATTAATGATTCACAATACGTAATCGTATATGAATACAACAAAATAAAAAAACCTCATTTCAATAAATAAGACTATTACCAGATTACACGATTTCACGGTTCAATATTTTTATCTCCTATTGTATTTAAAATAGTAATTACCTCTTACCTGGTTGTAATACTGGCAATATTGCATCTGCAGGCAAAAGGAAGTGTATTATTACTTCCAGACTACAAAGCAGAACCGAGATTTCAGCATCTGCATCAGCCGAGAAGAAAAAGTTTGCATGATTTTGCTCTTTATACTTTTTCAATGAATGTAACGTTTTCGTAAGACTAGTCGATTAATTTTTTAACAACATTTTCTACTTAATTTTTGCGTTATTCATAATGCTTCAGCGATATATCCTTAGTAGTTCATGCTCCGACATGGTCAACTAAAATTAACTAGTTTTTTGCAAGTTTCCAGATGCCCCTAATGTCAAATTTTTCTAGTCCAAATAGGGTGTCATGATATTTTAACATTTTTTAAGCTCTCGCGTATCGACAATTTGGCAAAAACCCTCTTTTGTAAATCGGGTGCGTAGACCAGGAATCTGTCGGTTTTTCGCTGACGTCAACGAATGGCCACAAAAGTCTCATTTTCCTTCTCCAAATAGGATTTCGAACAACCTGAATGCTGAATGGTTGCATGCAAAGTGCTGCCATCTGTCAAAATTATGGAGGGTTCATCGTGCAGAACAAAATATTATAAATGTATAACAGAAATATGTGCTCTCACTATGCACGTCAGAAGACGGTATTATGTTGCTATGATAAAATAGTCTACTTGACTGAATTTAGAATTACTTACCCGTGTCACGATAACCATTTCGGACAATCATCAACTCCAGCCGATCTGAAAAGAGATTAGAAATATAATTAAATATAACAAAAGAAACCGCTGGCTAAAAAATTAATTCAAATTTTACTCGGATGCCGAAAATAAACACTATCGGTATTTATCTTAATCTTAATAATACGCTGTTGTATTCTGAGAGTACAAATACCGATATCTGATTTCCCTTACTTTCATTTCTAGCGGTTTTCTAATAATTTTAAGTGGGTAGTACTTTATAGTTGTTACTTATTAATAGAAACACTTGAAATGTTTATATAACAATCATATTGTGAAGGTGCATCCACATGAATGAATGAATCTTGAAATTAGAGGCATTCCGACCACCATAAGGAGCCAGTGCATAGGCCTCTTAAGGCGGCTACTACGCAGTGAGTTTCAAGCCATTTACAAGGGTTCAGCTGCTTCAAAACTGACACTCCATTTTTCAATATTTTTTAATGAAATTCATACAGTATGTTGAGAAGATAATTGCCCAGGGTGCTATAGGAGCACTTTTTGAAATTTTGTTTTTGCACAACTTTAATGATGGGTTGAGGTGCGCACTTTTTCTGTTCAACTTCGCGATTTTTTTAAAAAGAACCTAGTGAAAAAAAAATAAAAAGTGGCTCTATTGCACCCTGTAGGGTTTTGTTTTCAGCACTCTGTGAAAATTTCATCCAAAAACATAAAAAAATAAAGCGTCAATTTCGAAGCGCGCAAACCTCTACAAATCGTATTTTGGACGAATTTTGTCTACTGTTTCGTGCTGCCAAACGAAGCGTTGCGGCGCAATGTACGGATTCAGATAATTTGGTGGCCCTATTTCATATAATATCGCGTAGATAAGTCGTTCTGCAAATAGGTACTAATAATCGTGATCGCTGATACTCCTCGATTTTAAAGCCGTTTTACTTCCCACGTCATTGGCGAGGAAGTATTGTAATCGCGTAAAATTTCTAAAATGAGGTGTTATGTTTTTTAAGTCATAACTTGTGACTCAAATGACATCTACATCACCAAACACTGTATCACTCATCATCAACTTGGAAATTACCGCTCGGATTTTTATGAAATTTCCACACGTGGTTACTAATATGCCAAAGCTTTGTAGTTTTAGTCCAGTGGCAACGGTGCTATAGGCAAAAAAGAAAAAGTAACAATTGCTGAAACTTCGTTTTTGACGTTACAGGGGTTCCTAATCATGGACATAAAAAATTGTACTGCTTAAAAAGGGGGGGGGGGTGTTGAAATCAGTGAAACACGTTCTACTACTAAGTAGCTTCTGATTCCAGGGAATTTAAGTATCGAAAATCCGACGAATAATGTGGTCACGATTTCAAAAAATCGGTACCTGCTCTATAGGTTTGACACCAACAGCCAACAGATCTGCAACTACTGACAGTAGGGAAGAATAAATTCGGATATCACTCCTGTCAAGTATAGGGGAATTTAGCGTGGAACTTTAAAATTATCGATATGTCAAGGAAATATGTTTTTGAGAACGATCATTTGGTAGATTTTATACCTGCATTTTCATTTGAATTTCATAACCCGTGAAATATACCCATTTCGCCGTTACCTTTTCTTTTCTGCAGTTTGTGATGTTTTTCTAGATATAAGCAGGCCATAATTGCCTAGGGTGCTATCAGAGCTTTTTACAAAATTTTGTCAAGAATAATGGTGGGTTGAAATGCTCACTATTTGTGCTCAACTACTTGATATTTTAAAAAGATCCTAGTGGATACAATCGAAAAAGTGGATCGCTGGTACCCTGTGGACTTTGTTTTCAGCACGCTGCAAGAGTTTCATTTGGAAATAATAAAAAGTAAGCTGTGAAGTGCAAATCGGTTTTTGGGCGAAATTCATCTACTGTTTCGTCCTGCCAGTCCAAGCGACGCGACGGTGCGTTCCGACTAAGAAAACATGTAGATATTCAAATAATTTTATATCTTTCCTAAAATAAATTCAAGAACTCAAATTCTAATTCGTTTATTCATGTCAATAAACACAATTATTTTTACAAGGGTCCTGTGGTAGATGGTAACAATTGAACGAGGGTCATAAAAATATCTTATGCCGTCAAAATAAGAGGAAACAGTTAGGTAGTTTTTGCAAAGCAATAAACAGGTTCTCTTATACCTGGATTAATAGGTAGATGGAGGTGTGCGATCAATAAAAAAACCACAAGATTGAACTGCCGTGTCCAATGATTTTTGTATTGCCTTTTTTTATCGCCTTACTAGAAAACTCTGTTGGGTATATGATCGAGTTTTCTAGAACTTTACAGCTTGTGGTCTGCCTTCTTCTACAAACTTCACCAAATCGAGACGCTGTCAACCTTATCCTTCGATGAAGGCGCCACAAAGCACAGTCCTGTGATTTGGTGACTTGTTCGGTATGCAAAATCTCGTCGTCACTTTTTCTAAGTTTCCCTAAAAATTCTTGCTTAGCAACCTCCAAATCAATGTCGTTCATGTCAGGTTTTTGACAGAATTCGCCATAAAACCATTATATATTTTCTTTGGAATTGCTATCCGAATTGTTAGTTATTTTTATATCAACTTTTTTTGGTCTGAGTTTCTTTCCAAGATTCTTACGTTTGAGTCTTTGTTCCATCTTAGTGATAAACGAGGTTGGACTAAGCTCAGAACGCAAATGTATTTGGACCACATAGACAGGCCGCTCGGTATTGTGGTTCACTACAGCTGCAGCACATCTTCCATGGTATGACCTCTTCTTGCAATAATTTATTCGCTTACCCCAATGTATTTTGCGATTATAGAGTTGAACTGCTCCACACTATTGTTGTCCTCATTATGAATTAAACTCACTGAATTCGTAATTAAAATTGTCGCATATATGACCTTTTATTGTCCATTATCAACCTTGTTAAAAAATTCACTCAAGAACAATTACACCAACAAGAGTACAACACAACAATACAATATGGACGAACAGTAACAAGGGTAGAACAATACTAAATGATCACTAGCTGAATACCAAAATAGGAAACGATTTACATGCTAGATCTCTAATCGAAATCCGACTCTGTTATTATAAAAATTTACCTCTGTAGGCACCCGCAGTCATCCTTTCCTCTTTTAAAGTAGCACCGACCACCTTTTAAGACCAGCCCACAATCGTTTCCTTTTCATCCCCCCGTTACCTCAGCAGATGGTTCTCGTGATTGTAGGACCCCCGTTAAGCGGGCCCTTATGCCCCTCTTCATTCCTTAGATCACAAGCCTCGCCCTTTTAGCGAACTTGAGAATCACCTTGAGTCCAAGCTCCTTGACGTCCTGAGGGTCCAAAGTAATGGACCGCAGTATAGTCTGCCTATAGTAGCTCAGAGCTTCACAGCGACACAAAACGTGCGCCGAGGTCTCTTCCTCTACCCCGCAGCGTTCACACAAGGGGTCCTCAGCCACCCCCATCACGTGCATGTGGCGCCTTAACGTGTTATGGCCAGACAACAGTCCCACCAGCAACCTTAGGTGGCTCTATCCAGACATAGGCAGAAACGTCCATCCTTAGCACTGGGCCTTTCAATGAGTTCCCGTGCCTGGCGGAGATGTCTGGAGATACTTCTCCATTCCTGAAAGTGTTGTCTTGCAACCCACATCTCCATTTTCCTCCTAGCTCTATGCGCGGTCACTCTTAGAGCTGGCTCAGGACCAACGAGCTTGCTGGCTGATCCTGTCTTCGCCAGAGTGTCCGCTGTCTCATTGCCCCTTATCCCAGCGTGCCAGGGCACCCACATTAAGGATACCCGATGCCTCGCTGCGAGGCAATCCAGAGCCTCCCTGCATTGCAATACAAGACTCGATGTAATCTTACAGGCACTTAGTGCTTTCATTGCACCCTGGCTGTCGGATAAGATTGTTATTCTTCTCCTAGGCCCACCCTCCTCCAGAATGTGAGATACACAAGCCAGAATCGCACAGATTTCCGCCTGGAAAATAGTGGTGTATCCACGGAGAGGCAGAGATAGCCTAGTTCTAGGCCCAGAGACCCCAGCATCTGAGCCCTCTTCGGTGACCGAGCCGTCTCTGTACCAGACCTGCCCGCTAACTCCGGAGAGTCTCCGGCTACCGGCGTCCCACTCCTCCCTCGTCGGATACTCCACAATAAACTTGCGGTTGAAGCGATATTTAGGGATAGTACGATCACCCCTGCTTAGAAGGACGGGGTCCTCCCTTTGCAATTCGACTAAGATGGCAGTATGCCTCTTGACAGGATTCGAGAAAGCCCAGCTACCCTGACTCCACAGTCGATGAGCGACTACTCTTGCTTCACCGCGGATCACCAGATCCAACGGTGGGAGATCCAATAGAGCTTCCATTGCACTCAATGGTGTTGTTCGCACTGCGCTTGTAATGCTAATACAAGCCAAACGCTGAATTTTATTGAGTTTCGTCTTAATTGTATCAGTTCTAATGCAATGCCACCAGACCAGGGAGCCGTACAAGAGAGATGGACGTACTATAGTCGTGTGGAGCCAGTGTACCACTTTGGGTTTAAGCCCCCACCTCACACCGACAACACGTCTACAGGCCCACATTGAATTGCGAGCCTTGCTAACCTTGTATTCAACATGCTCTCTCCAGTTCGGTTTGCAATCCAGGATAATTCCCAGATATTTCAGTGATTGGGATAGAATTAACCTAGTCCCAGAGAAGGTCGACATGACTAGCCCGTCAAGTCTTCTTCTCCTTGTGAATAGGCTCGGTCTTTTCAGCATTAACAGAAAGATCGACTTCCCTGTACCACAATTCCACAGAGCGCAGAGCGCCCTGCATAATTTCCGAGACTGTTCTACAAAAAGGTCCCCATACTTGGCAAACCTCGGCAAGGCATCATCGACCTATTCGACGGTGTGTCGGTTTTGCGCACAAATCAAAAGGGTTGCATTTATTACACGTTCCTTTTAGCAAAACTCAGTCTACCTAACTTTAGCTGAATGAGATTTTGTCCTCACTTGCAGCGTTTAGG